CGCAGAGTTATATTCGGAAAGAATAAATCAGTTTTATTAAGTAAAGACTTGTGTCGTTAAAATTTCGTCGGTACGAAGTTACGGAAAATCAATTAAAAAAAACGGAGACGTAACAATAATATAAGAAAAAGTGGAATGTAAATGTAGAAGATTTTAAACCATATTTTGAAGAACAAAAAGCATTCTGCAGAAATAAAAAGAATGTTGTAAAAATTAGGTCTACATTAATAAATTTTGTTTTTTAATAAATGTAATCTATAACAAAAGGAGCGAGCATTTTGATTTAAAACCTTAATATTGTTGAAAGAATTTGTTACACAAAGAGGGTAAACTCATTATTCTAAACTTAGGTGATTCAATAAAGTTTCTTATCGATAAGATTCAACGAAAAATATTTACTAGATTTTATGAGTTTCATGAAGACCTAATTGTTAAACCTATCTCGACAGAAACAAATAAAATGTGCTGTATGTGAAAAATATTTACAAACATCTTATAAGAAAACTAATGATGAAAGTAATGAGAATAAGAGAGTATTATATAAAAATGAGGCTATTCCAGAAACAGGAACAGCCTACAAAGGAGGTTTGAAAACTTACTTATTAATACTTAATGTTGGTAATATCGATGCTCAAGAATTTTTGTTTAATGTAGAAAACATTGTTTTTCCTAAAATCGATGAGTTAAATATAAAAAAATATATTAAAGTTAACCTTAAATTACAGTGTATTTATGGAAGGCAAGAAGAAACAGAAGACTTTTCATTCAAAACTAAAAGTGAAATTATTCAGAGGACAACTAATTTGGAAGATTATTATACAGATGTTAACAAACGTTCAACAGACATGGTTGACTTTGAAGAAAGAGGGTTCGGATGGGCCTTAAAAAACATAGACAATTTAAAACTTCGAATAAATAAATATAATTCATTTAAAGGTTCATCATATGTTGAATTACCTAAAAAATATACAAGATAGAAAAAGCTGTGATAAATGTTAAAAACGAAGAACAAGAATGTTTTGTGTGAACTTACGTCAGTATATTTGCATCCAGTAGATGGGAAAAAAATCATCCGGGATGGATATTAATTATAACAAATCAGAACAAATGAAATATATTAAAGAATTATTTAAAAGGAGTTCCCTTGTTGCTATAATAATATTCCAAAAGTTGAAAAGAAGATGAATATATCCGTAAATATCTACAGTTGTGATGAAGAATGTATTATTTATCAATTAAATATAACTAAAAATAAAAAAGCTACATGTTAACCTTTTATATGTAAACTAATGAGTATTATTGTCTTACCGAAGATTTATCTCGATTAATTGTCAAGTAATAAAGCATAAATCAAAAATACATCCATGTGATAGATGTCTGCAGTACTTCCATTCATAAATCAGATTGAAGAAATACGAAGATTGTAAGCTAAAGGAAGCTGTAAAGATTGAAATGCCTTTAAAGGATTCTGTTATATAAGTTAAGAATATAAATAATTCACTAAGAGTTCCTT